TCCACAACATCTTGATAGTCTCGTATAATACAACTTCCTTAATACAATTCAAGTAGTTACAAATTAAAGTAATTGAATGCAGTCTCCCAGATTATTAAATCTGAAATAAGTAACCGTCATTTAGCTAAGTGCAAGCTACTGCACTCCATAACTGCACAATGAAATACTATAAATTACTCAATCTTTCTGTAATTTACACACGTGACTCTATTTTAACACTGTGAATATGTCGCTAAAGATGCTTGGCGTTGTGATATTTTTTTTGCCGATCGTGATTTAATTTATACTAGACTTCTGAAGATAGCTTGAATTAAACCGAAACGGTTTTTGTTATATATGTGTATATATATATATATACATATATATATATATATAGTACTGAGAAATATATATTGATATAATCGCTCCAATTATTGTAAATTTAGGCTCTTAATTGTCCGTTTTTTCATTTATTGTTTAATTTTTATCTTAAGTACCTAACTTTAATTATTCTTTATTTTTGTGTTCTGTTAATTATAAAAACTTCTTATCATTTCTAGCAAGCTTTCACGCTTATTCACTGTATATTGTTATATGTATGATGTTATATATACGTGTACAATCAAATTGATTTCTGCTCCCTGATAATCATGTGTCGTTTGCCGTTTCTTTTTAAATTATTTGTCAGTGTCGCGTGTTGAAGTTTATAGCATCATATATGTATTATATGTACGTTATTATTATCTGAGAAATTTTATAAACACATCGGATCAATGTCAATAGACTTACAGGCTTTCATCTATGATTATTTCTAAAATTAATTACTGTTACTCAGACTATCCAAATGCATAATGACAACTTAAGCACTTTGTGTTTAGACTGACGCGTCATTTGACACTCATACCAAATACGTACGTTCATTACACTGTGCCACATAGATTTAGATCACAAATCAGACAAGATGATGTTTGAACAATGAATTCAATTGGATGCATTAGTGTGCATTGATATGTATCAAAGTCGTTATACACGGATTTAGCATTAACACAAATAAAATGCAAACATGATCAAAGAGTTCCGTATGGAGCATAGAAATTTCACAAGCCAAATATTTGGCATGTGGAATTCCACATGCCAGATTTGAGAAACAAACATTGAAACTTGTGTGATCTTTAAGAAATGTACATATAAGATAGAAAGTAAACACGCGGGCTGTGAAGACCAAATAACGTGGCAATAATATACGTTAATAAAGAGCTTGCACAATTATTGAATGCAGATATTTTAATGGAGGAGTTATTATTATTTGCGAAAACAGCGCTTCAGGAATATGCTTCGCATATATCGTTTTAACTCAAAATTCATTTATATTTATATTTATTAATTGTATAGGCATAATACATGTTACACTTACATGTACATTTATATGTATATATACAAAAAATCAATCCGACATTTATTATACTTTTCCTTTCCAGTGGCATTGGTACTCCACATGCCAAAAAATTAATTTAAAAAAATTAATAAATTCTCTGCCCACGAATGCAAATATTTTGATTTATGATATACGTTTTGTCAGCACAATAAAATGTATTGAGGATTTCGTGGTTTAATATTTAAATTGTCGTTTCTATATTTACATTAAATATACATCTTTACGTCAATCTATGTATATCTTTAATATGCATTAGTGCGCATTGAGTGCATCTAACCGAGTCTGCTTTTTATTGCTGAAAATGAATCCATTATTAAAATTGGTTTATCATTCTATAATTCTTTTTTAGTCGTTCTCATTTATTATAAACAAATTTTTTTTAATTCGACAGAAGAATGTCACGGATTTAAATTTTGTTCTTTTAATTTATTTATACTGTGTAACTTTTTGTATATTTTTGAGCTACTTTAGCTCAAAATTACTAAAACAATATACCATTTTTGATACTTTTAAGTCTAATTTTTTTAAAAGTGATGTGATAGAATAATTTCATTAACGGATTTCCTTTGAGCGAAAAAATCTATTAGAATTAAACAATGATTTGACAAAAAAGCTCTGAAAATAAATCAATAAGAAAGAGATACAAGTTACCAATAAGAGCTAACGTTGATATCGATGCGTACAATGAATTTATTAGTCAATTAAATAAAAAAATGAATTGTAAATGAATTGCTTTTGACCATAATTTGTATTCCTTTTCAGTACAAATTAAAACATATAAGCATATAAAGTACATTACATCAATTATATAATTACATTACATCAATTATATAATAGTCCGGATATTATTAATGTCATAAAATCGCGTCGATTAAGATGGGCAGGTCACGCGGCGCGTATGGATGAGAATCGAATTGCATATAAAGTACTAATTGGTAAACCGGATGGGAAAAGACCATTGGGTAGACCAAGACGTAGATGGGAAGAAAATATTAGAATGGACCTTAACGAAATGGGGTACGAGGGTCACAAATGGAGGGATCTGGCTCAGGGACGGGAACAGTGGCGGGATTTGGTATTTGCGGCAATGAGCTTTCGAGTTCCTAACGCCTAATAATAATAATAATAATAATAATAATAATAATAATAATAATAAGCATATAAAGTAAATTTAATAATATGAATAAATTTTATTCTAATATTTATATGAATAAATATATTAATAATATAAGCGAGATTAATATTGTTAGAGTGAAGTACATATCTATTAAAAAAAAGATAAAATAATTAAGAAGCATCAAGGTCGTTAAGATAACTAATAATGTCAATATAGATGAAGTCAAGAAACTGCGATTCACTTTGTAAATTTTACATAATTATACAATCACATACATAATCATATAATTCACATAATCCGTGATTGTTTTTTTTAATGTCGCTTTAGAGATCAATTTTTTATTATTAATGTAGTTCTTCGTTCAAAATTCGAATATTATCCCAGTTAAATTCATGTAATAATTTATCTGTTATCTGTGATTACCGTGTTGGGAATTGGTTAATATTTCTGTTGATGTGATTTTTGAAACAGTCAACAATATTAATCTCACTTTAATCATATCGGTTTATTTTCCCGTTGACTCTGTCTCATTAGCTACTTTTATATATCTCTCTATAAATATTATTTTGTCTGGTTTGTGGTCTAAAAAAATTTAATTTGTCAGCGTTATTGCAATAATGTTAATCGTAAATAAATTTCTGCTGTTAAATTCGCTTTTAATTATGCACATCTACTTGCATCTTATATTTGCAAAATCGATTTGCATTTACGTTTAATTTTATTCAAGTTTGTTATGCAACATATTATGTCCATTTTCTAAGTAGAAGCTGTGGATTAAGTAATATCAAAAAAGTCCTATTTGAATATTCAAGTATCAAAACAGGTTTATAAGGTTTAATTGAAGTTGAAAGAGATTCAATGTAGGACTAAAATTTCGACTATGTATTTTAAATCATCACTTTTGCAATAAGATGCGGTAAAAATATCAGTGATCCGAAGCCCGCATATATATAAAAACAGAAATATCCGCTTTTGCGTGTTATAGTTGCTAGGTTTCCTTCTACATTGAAATAATTCGTCATGACTCATATCTTTGATGATTCATCTCTTTTTTTTTATTTATCGTATATCCGCCAGTCCGACGAAGACCGATTAACGAAGAAACGAAAGGGGTGCTATGGAAGTTCATATATATATATATATGGTATCCAGATAACATACACGGAAACGATATATCTACAGCTCAGATTTTTCTCGACAGTCAACTGTATATGTTTGTATTTAATAGTATAAATAGTGATTCTCAACGCGTTGAGTGTTTAGTATATAAGAAGTATCTGATACGATATGATCGTGCGGAGAGACAATTTTAGTCTGAACATTTCTAAATATCTTCTTCAAGAATATTTGCGGTTTGCATCGTGTTCTATCTCATTTGTTATAAAATGCTACAATAATCGATAAAGAAAAGGATATTTCTCTGCGTTGACGAAGGGACGACATCGGCAGGTAGTTCCGAAATTCGGATTAATTTCTTTGCTGTATATCGAGTGCAGAAAAGGGTGAACAAAATAACTTTGAATAAACGATATATCATTTACATCATTATGAGAAATACAGTACTACATAATATAATATATACGAATAATTTATCGGAGGGATATTAAATAACACAACGATATTAAATTTTAGGAGGGGGGGGGGGGGGGGGAGAGAAATACGAGACGCTTAGCGAGACATGAAATGCAAAGAATCTTGTTATCGTTAGAAATGATGAGCCTACTGCATCGCCCATGATGAATCTCAAGTTACATCAAGTTGCAAATTCATTTGTGATGCGTCACGTGAAACGCAAAATTATTGTGAGAAAATGTTCGCGAGAAAAAATTTAAAATTTATTGTTTAAAAATTTTAAAGTTAGTTTAACGAAATTTGCAATGGAAATTTTCCCATAATATAGATGCACTTCAATAAAATTTTATTGGAAAAACAAAAGATATACATATGCTTCTCTAGGTGCATTTTCTGCATACCAAAATTTATTATATATTGGTTATATCCAAGAACGCTTTCCTTGGTTAAATTCGAAAAAGTTCAAGAAAAAATGCAAATATTGGCAAATAAAGTAAAAGGAATTTTGTGAAAAAAGAAAAAGGAAAAAAAAATGAATACAGCATTCAACACATTCCCCGGACGATTTCATTCGTGATGCAATAAAATTTTTTGAAAAGGACATTGTCGGGTATAACTTATCTCTTCTCAGGTATAAAATCCTTGGATATAAAACCTCCAGGTAGGAAAATGTGTTTTCCGTTCTCGAATTTCTTTTTCACAATTAGGATTTTATTCATGTCACATGTGATCCTTGTAATTTATTGAAAGTTAACTTGGAAGATATTCGACAAGCGATCAGTGAGATCAGTGAGAAGTAAACACAGAAATAAAACGTCCTGCGTCGGGATACATGACACATTCTGGATATCTACCTACAATAATAATTGCAAGTAGAGGAGAGGACAGTCACGATAAACAGAAGACGATCGCGTCAGCGTATCTTGCGGTCTCCTTAGCGCGGTCTTTCATCGGTTACCTCATTGGCCGAACTGATTAGGCACGTACAAACTCGCTAGCTCTTTTCCTGGTAGCTCAGTTCCTTCGTGTTCCTTTGAACTGTGAGTGTAAACCGCTGTACTCGAGAATAAGGATTGTTACGCTTGCTCTGTGATTTCTGAGCTTGAGTGGAGAGAAATTTGTTTATCCAAAAGAGAATTATCAGTGACAAATTATTTTAGCCGGGCGGGTAATGGCTGAATACAAGGAGCCGGCTACTTATATGTTTAACAACTTCGAGTTGAAGAGATGGCTTCACGGAGACGAAAATCGTCGTCGTATGCTGCTGGTCAAGGTGCGAATTTTTGTTTATTGCCGATTTTACGTAGTAAATCTAGCAAGACTATAAGACCTGTATTAATCTAACCTATTATGAAATGTTGACATTGTCGACAAACAACTTTAATACAATTTATACACTTTACAGTCCATCAGCATTGTGCGTTTTTGTTTTGTTGTGAATTTATTAGTATCTCAGCTTCAGCTTGTGTAGAAAGTGATATTGTAAAAATTTATTTCTACTTGGCGGTGGATAATTTGATGCAATTTCGAATATGTATGGAATATGCTGTAATATCTGACCACAAAATAATTATTTCAGCTAAAGAATGATTTACGGAATCTGGGATTATCGAAGCGGGCGACACGAGCAGGACTCGTACAGCTTGCAATGAAGCCATGCGTGATTCTAAAACGACTGTCGGTTTCCTGTTACAGGTAAGTTTCTGTTCGGTATTCTGTGAAGCCGTGGGGTATATAATGAGAATATGTAGCGAATGCGAATAACGGACATTTATATTTCTGTTTGTAAGCTTGTTGCTTTTTTTTTTTATTACACCGAGCGTTCGATCAGATTCAGTATTCGCAGCATAAAGTGTTTAACTTGTGCTATTTGTTGAAGCAATAACGAACTTTCGTATTCGGTGTTCGTTCGTAAATGTATACCCAATTTAACATAAATGTTGTATCAGAGTTTGGACTGTAAATCGTATTTGTAGTTACGCTTCATTCGCAGTTTACGACATGTTAGTTTTGCATAAAATGAGAAAGGAGTTGTTTCTGCTGAGAAAAATATGGTAGCGATTTTTTTACACGAGACGCAAATAATAACAAGATGTAGCAACTGCTAATTATTAGGAGTTAATTATTGTGAATTAATTTAATTATAATTTGAAAATATTTTGTGTCTGAAGTATTTCACGTTTTTCGAACTAAAGTATAAATAAATGAAACCGTATCCCTCGAATCCTTCTGCATTCTTCTCATTTATTAGTAGGATTTTCACAAGAGAATTATTTTTCCAAATTACAAAACTGTTGTTAATATTTTTTATGTAATATTTAATTTTTTTGGTGTTATTTGGGGGCGTCCAGACTGTCTAATCTTTCTCCTTACAGTCCCTTGTATGAATTTCCGATCCTTTTATCGGGTCACAATACAATGCGTTATAGCGTTATACAATACTATCTAACCGAACATCAAGCTGTGAGCCGAGCCTGTGTCCACATTCAAAGATCTTACATCCACATTTTCGAAACGAATATATTATAGATTAATATCAAATCATTGACTACGAATATAGTTTGGACGTAGGCTAGATAGACGCATCCGTATATGCTTTTAGAACTACAAATTTGTTTCTTCACATAAAACGTTTAAGATATAATTTTTATAAAACACGAAAGACATAACATACATTATGCTGTAAATGTACATATCTTGTATTTTATAAAAATGACAGATTTAAAAAAGATATATACATGTATATAAATAGAATATCATTTTTTAATTAAGATTTATTTCGAAAAAAAAATATTTTTGGAAAAATGTGAGTCAGTACATAGAAAGTATTCTTTACAGATAGTTTTTCAAATATTCTTGGCATGTACATACATAGTAACAAATTAATTTAAACGCTATCATGCAAGCTTTGGTATTATCTTGCTTTAAAAAAAAATACTTCAACATTTTTTGCATACATGTATATTCAATTTTTTTCACATTTAATTTATTATAGATAAAATTTTTGAATTTTCGAAGCGTTTAGAGTTTCAAACAGGGACCCGGACTGAAAGGTTTTTTGATTCGGTTCCGGTTCCGGTTTAATAAAATATCAAACAAATGTTTCAGTTTCGGTTTTTTTTTACCAGTAGAAAGAAAATTGAAACCATAAAAATTACAGTTTTTTAACGATTTTTTTTTGTTTCTACTTACTTGCTTTATTTTATTTATTCTTTAAATTTCTTCTATTAAGAAGAAGAAGGGGGAGGTGGAGGAAAAAGAGAGAGGGAGAGGGAGAGGGAGAGGGAAAAGAGAGGGTTTCACCGTTCAATCTAGGGTACGGTCAACGCGATGCTGCAAATGCTTTGAAGCGTTTTTTAACTAGTCAGTTTGTAAAATTCTAATTGGTCCATCAAATGCTTTAAAGCTTTTGTTGCTTTGACCATAGTCCTAGAAAGCCTAGTCGAAAAGAGGCGTCAATTGATCATGTGATTCTGAATAAAAATTACGTAAACATTATTTTAAGCATATTTCTCTCGGTTCTTTCTTACAATTTATTTCTTTTATTCTTATGGATAGATCTCACTTGTTACATAAAGTTTACATATGTATTCTTGAATTTTATGACTTAGAATAAATTTTTGTAACATGAGGAAGATCTAAATAAAAGAAATGTTAATATCTTAAAAAAAGTTTATATTAAATATGTCTCGCGATCCCACCATTTCTTATATATATATAGACGTTTCGATTTGAACGAAGGAACGGACAGAACAAAGATTAAGAACAAGGATAAAGAACCGAAAAACTTAAGAACTCAAAAATTAAGAACTGAAAAAAGGATCGAAAAAGAACCGAAAAAAATCATAAAATTTTGCCAGTTCGGTTATGGTTTCGGCATTATAAATTATACAAAATTTGGATACGGTTTCGGTTCACTAAAAACAAGAGGAATTCCGAAACGATTTTCGGTTCTGATTTCAGTTCAGTTCGGATCTCTGGTTTCGATAGATACATATTTTCAAGTCAAGTAGGAAGAGGTCCTTAGTCGTATACGATGGAAGAATTCGCTCTCACCACTGTAACTCACTTTTTGCCTTAGTTTTTATGGCTTGCTCTCCTTCCTCGTGTTTATGTGAGTCCCAATTCTCAGTGCGACCACGTATGGTCTCGAGTGTTTCGAGGGTTGAAGAAATATCGACAGTTTGAACGGAACTGTTGTGTTGACTAGACGTCCGTTACTTCTTCACTTTGCCGTAGAATTGAGTAAATTAATGTTTTTTGCACGACGATATTATTTATAGAAAGAAATGTTTAATAATAATTAGTGTGAAATGCTACGGAATATTTCTAAAAAACGGATAATTGTTTAGCGTTATTAGTTCGTCTAATAACCTATTATCATTCATTCATTATTATCCGAAGGGTAGCCATTGAGTCTGCATAATAATTAAAGGTATCTACATTAATAAATTAGATCTGTATTCAGAATACGCTTTTACGATGTTAGTGTATATTTGATACATAGTTCACGTTACTATACAATTTCATACATAAGCACATTTATCAATAAAAGTGGGTTCTGAATGCCATAAAGTTTAAGCTAAATAGCGATGTAATTTTAGTATATGTTTACGTAGAGTTTAGTTAGAATCTACTTTCTGTTTCACGGAAAAAATGCTTTTACTAAAGTATCTAACAAATTTAGCTACATACCAATCTGAAAATAATGTTATTGCGTTATCGATAAAATAATTATGTAAGACGCTCTTGTTGCTAGAAATTGTTAAACTTTCTTGCAGCATTATTTCTCATACTTGAGTTTTCTACATAATTATTTTCAGATTTCTATAATTAAGTTTCAACAAAATTACTTTCAGATCTGTATTTAAAATTTTTAGATATTTCAGCAAACATTCTTTCCGTGTTGCCATCCTTAAGGAAACGAGAAGGATCTTCGGACCACTTTTAAACAATTTTTTTTAAAATAAAATAATGATTTATTTAGTAGGAGCAGTGGCGACTTAATTTGACACTATAGATTTAACAGTGTTCATAAGTATATAATTATACAGTGTTCGGTAAGTTTAGACAAAGCGTGTAGAGAGAGAAGATTAAACTAGCAATGAGTTGAAGGCAAATTACTGATAATGAGTGTTGTACCATTTTGCAATCTTTGTAAATTACGAGAAATCAATCATTACAGATCGCCGAATGAGCGCATGTTCGCCCAACCTACCGCTAAATACAAGCGCACGGCGTGATACGATTACCTAGCATGGAGAATTGTTTTCTTTCGCTGTTCATGCATAATTATTGCCGTCTGTAATAAATGTAAACAATTCCCCGTTTAGTAGTCATGACCTATGAATGTATGTACATTCAACGGGAACTTGGGCGGATACACGTTCATTCGGCGATCTTTAGAATTAATTTGTCGTAATTATTGCGAAAATTACAAAATAATATAAGATATTTAAATTCATTCTACTTGCACACGAATGCATATCAAAACCAGCTACCTTGTATATATTTGTTTTTATATGAAAAATTTTTTAAATAGTAAGCAATGGAAGATGCATTGGAACATAATGAATACATTTAAGAATGGACACATTTAAGAATGCCCTGTGCATAGCACGTATTATTATATAATAAATGATTATCAATAACGAATGTGCGTGCCTCTTTATCGGAGACTGATATACCGCAAACTCAATTGACGGATTGGTGGATTTTGATTTTTAAGCGTATCTCGCAAATCTCTCGATTCCATATGTAAAAATAAAGCAAAACAAATTCGATGAATTGGAAATAAGTTTTTTGCATAGATTTTATTGTCAATAGTAAATCTTCGTGCTAGTAATTTTATTATTATGAAATGTTAACAAGACACACTATTAAATTCATAATATCAAATTATATCCAATTTGAATTACATTTTAAATCATTTCGGTCGCGCCACAGCTCTTATTCAATATATTTAGTTAATTTAACTAAAATAATGGAGTTAAACAATTTAACAATTTTATAATATTAAAACATAAATAATATGGTTCAATAATAATATTATACATTAATAATAATAAGGTAAAAGGGCTACGAGTCAAACAATAACTTTTAATATTCGACAAACAGAAACATATGTTTGTATTAAATGTCAATATTAAAAGTTATTGTTTGACTCGTAGCCCTTCTACTTTAATATTATTAATGTATAATATTAAATTTGACTTAAATTTAGTTTATTATTTACTAAGTGCATACGCTAATATGGATGTTGGTTATTTCGAAATTAATCACAGTGGATTGATTTACATTATGACATAGGTACATAGAAGCTTTAATCGATAACTTTGCTTCTTTGATATCAAGCAGGGTGACTATGATAATTATAATATTTATTATAAGAAAACATAAAATGCTAATTAACGAGATAAAAGAGAAAAATATAAGGTAAATGTTGAGATGGAGGGAGCCAATGTCGACGACATATGTTGTTAAAACATGTTGTTATGATCCTGAGTGACTTCCAACAGGTTTTAGTCGTCGCTTGTTATTTGTTAAAAAGTTATTATCAGTCAAAATTAGTAATTATTGCTCTGCTTATGAAGAATCAGATAACTTGAAATAGGGAGAAAGATATAAGTGGACGAATTCAAGAAATACAACTTTTTTCACGCGAAACGACTTTCACCCTCCTCAAGGGACGTGCGACTTTCCGCATGACGCAATTTTCACTTTACCTCCCCCTCCCCTTGTCAAAGTTATCCCTCGAAAATCGCTTCACGCGTCCTTTGATGGGAGGGTGAAAGTCTTCCTCCTTGGCAGGGGAGGAGGTGGGATGAGAATCGATTCGGATAGAAAGTCGTGTACCCCTATGTGCTATTGTATAAAAATAAAAATTATATCAGAAAATAACGTTTTCGTCGGCGCTGGCTTCCTCTATATTGAATAACGAGCAACGGCCGTCGCCAGACCTGTTGGAAGCCACTCAGGGACAACATATGTTCTAACAACGACCTTCATCGATGCTGGCTTCCTCCATCTCAACATTTATCTTATATTTTTCTATCTTTTATCTCATTAATTAGCATTTTATATTTTCAATATTTACCAAATGTAATATTAAATTTGAGAGAAAATAAAAATGTTGAATAAGATTAAAAAGCCGAAGCAAAAAAAAATTTCTTTCTCTGAAACTAACTAGTCTCGAGTTCCAGCGAATATAGATTCGTTGCAATGATGCACAAATCTCGTTGTTTCAGCGATATTCGATTCGTCCGACATACTACTACGCGCAGAAAGATAATACACGGTACAGACCAATTATGTCCTCCAACCGCATAATTTCCTTTTACGACGAAGAGTACCATCGATTCGTTCGCGCATTGTATTCGTGAATTCGACGTTGGAAGGTACGTACGAATAAAAAAAAGATCTTGCGATGATACAGTAAAAAAATTTCCTTGTAAAAAAAATCAGTGTTGCTACATTCTGTCGCCTCCCCTGTCGGAGAACAACACTGCGACGTTCCGTCGGACTAACATGCGTTCACGGGAAGGTATCTATCTTTGACGCGATCTTCGTGAGAAAATCCGAAATCAAACGGTTCTCGTTCTTTGATGCATTATGGAATGCAAAATTCCCAAGAAATCCATGAATGATTCGAAGTTGCTAGCTGAAACGTCCAAGACCAAACGCAATGGTGACGCTAAAGAAAAAAAAAAAAAGTCTTCAAAGCGAAGTATCGCTTTCAAGTATTCCTTTGCCAACAGATGATTTGTAAAAATCTTTCTCATCCATTCCAAGACTTCCTTGATCGAATGTAACGTGATTCTCGATCAGGCACGATCGTGTGCGCGCAAGTAATAATCGTCATTCATCTTCCAAAATGGTGATCAATAAATTTCTGAAATCAATGTGCATGAGTGTCTGCTCTAAAATAAAGGAATTCTTTGTTATTTAATGTAATATTGTTAATTAAATTAATATTATTAATTAAATAATATTAGTACAAGTAATTAATGCTTATATTCGAGCCAACACAGGATGACAATGTGAAAATTAATTTATTTAAATCAACATAATTATAATCGCAGACGTTTCGATCCTGTTTCGGATCCTTATCAATGCTCCATATAAATTATTGATAAAATGCAGTTTACAGACAATTTATATGGAGCATTAATAAGGATCCGAAATAGGCTCGAAGATATTAATTGATTGTACTGATTTATCTCAACTTTAACCGAACCGAGCTTTAAGACTTAATTTATTATAATAATTATATTGTAAATAATATTAATTTGCACATATTGCGCAGCAGAACTGATTCGTTTCTTAAACAAGGTGTGTAGTGCGCATTAATTTATTCTATATATTAAATCTATTTATCTATTTATCTATTTATTAATCTGCTTTGATTAGGGTTC